ACATTTTTGGATAATTTCATAAGTTTCTTCTAAAGGCACACATCTACAAATAATTAGATCGTTTCCTTATTTATATAAAAATTGGTCATCCTAAAAATAAATCTTAGCTTTAGATAAAAATTTCCTCTTATGTTGGTATGTCAGACCATATGGTATAATATCACTAATAATAAAGTTAACAATGTCGGTATACCATGGAACACACCACTTAGTAATATTGAATAATTTTTCATCTTGAAAATGTTCATCAATTTCCTTTTTAAAATAGAGTGATTTTTCTAATTCAGGCCTGGACAGATGATCAACAATTTGATTATCAGCTCCCTTCCTATCTACTATTTCTAAGTCAAATTCTTGAGTAAGAAGAATCCATCTTATCAGTCTTGGTTTTGCATTCTTCTTTTTTATTAAGCATTTAATAGCAGAATGATTTGTATGCAGCACACATTTTATTCCAATTAAATATGATCTGAATTTATCAAAAATATATATTATTGCTAATGACTCTTTCTTAATTGTGGTATAATTAATTTGAGCTTCATTAAGAGTTCTATTAGCATATTAAACTATTTTGAAAATTTTATCATGTTTTGTCTTAAACAGCTCCAATAGAATAATTGCTTGCATCACATATTAAATTATTTTATAGTGACTAATTTTGTTTTTTAATAGCTCAAAAGCTTTTAGGCACTCTTAAATAAAATTAAAAATTACATCTTTTTTTGAGTAAATGACATAAAGGCTTAGCAATTTTTTAGAAGTCTTTAATATATCACTTGTAGAATCCAGCATGTCTTAAAAAATACTAATTTCCCTCACAATTCTTGGGTGAGGTAAATTAGCGATCACTTGAATTTTTACATGATCTACTTTCATACCATTTTTTGATATGTGATGTCCTAAAACAATTCCTCCAGCTACCAGAAATTGATATTTTTCTCATCTAAGGACTAAATTTGTTTCTTCACAGCGCTTAAGTACTCCTGATAAATGTTCTAAACATGTTCAAATGAAGTTCCAAAAATTGAAAAATTATCCATAAGAACTTATTCCTTTTTTAATTAAATCGCAGAAAATAACCACATACATCTTTGAAATGTAGCAGGGGCATTACATAAAACAAAGTGCATTCCTCTAAAACCATAAGGACTGGTAAACGTTGTTTTCACTTGATCCTCATGAGCTATTTGTATTTGGTGATAATCAATATATCCATCCGAAAGACAAATTTTTTTATGCCCAGCTAGTTGATCCCAAAAAGATAGTTGTGCAAAATATAGAAAGACAAATTTTTTTATGCCCAACTAGTTGATCCCAAAAAGATAGTTGTGCAAAATATATAAAGCTGACTCCGTTTTGCAACGGTGGAAAAAAACTTGATATGTTATTTTATGAATAAGAAATGTAAGCAATTTATGTAGGGATTCTACGCAAGTATACATATCATTATCAAGTAATATAGGACTTTTTGTTTAAGCCCCAAATATCGATCCCACGAGGAAGGTTTAAATTGGAAATGATAAATTAACTATGAAATTCACCGCAATAAAATAAAAATACTATCAATAATAAAAAATATTTAAGGTATTATCAAAATTAAATTATTAACTACTAGAAAAATTGTAATGCAAATTTTAAAACAGTAACTACCAAACTATGTTTATGTCATGGAGTTATCTAATTTAAAAAGCATCTTTCCCACTATAATGAGTTTTTAATTAAGTGAGATGAAATAAATGGTTTAATTCTGTATTGTGCTAAATAGAATTAATTTTAATTCTCTACTCTAATTTAGTGTTATAGAGAATCATTGGCTAATCTCAAGTTTAGTCCCTAAATTCGTGGTTAAGTTGGGAGGATATTGGCTCTCACTCCAGAGCTCCCACTTCCCTTCCCCTGAAGGCTAGCACTCACTCTAGTTCTTTCACTTTAGTTCTTACTCTAGTTCTTAAACATTAAGACCAAATTAGGGATTCTAGTCTGTCACCCTAAAATATCCCATTATGCGCCCAACAAAGTATATTTTCCTATTTATTTGCACTTAATTCTATGAATGAAACACTCCTTCATGGAATTAAATGTGATTCTCACTCTATTGTACAACTCATACTCTATTTCCCAGATCATATGTTTCACAACAGATTTTAACATTTCAATTGGCCAGATCAAAAAGTAAATTAAGAATGGAGTGAAAAAACCATCACAATTTATTTTATATTTTAAAATTGACACATCCAAATTATCTTTTCATTTCACCATATCTCAGAGTAGAGAGAAAGATAAAGAAAATTACCCAGACTTCATGAGAAAGAAACAACACAACATAAATTTCATATATAAAAGAAATTTCATATAACAATAATAAACAAACAACACTTATCTGTAACACTTCTCAAAGCAAATCCCTTGTAGCCTCTCTTGGACTCTTTCTCTCTTTATAAGACTCTTGATTCTCTCTTAGAAGATGTAAGGGAGAAGAAATCTCGAGAAGAAATCTCTCACTTCTCTCGAAATCTCTCACTTCTCTCCCTCTCTAACAACTCTTAGAAAAGAATTCAGACTAAAAATCACCACAAAACTTAAAAATCTAAGGAACTAAATGACTAATGGACTCAAAGTGGTTGGAAGGGAGGAGAGAGAGATTTTTCTGATCAATTTTTCCTCTAAACAGAGCCTAATGTCGGTTTTCCAATAGGTGCATCTAAAAACTCTTTAAAAAGCATCTAAATTCATCGAATCTTCTAGAAATTGGTCTTGCATCGACATTGGCACCATCAGCGCCAGTGGCCCATGAATTAATTCATTGCTCTCTGTCAAATGACATCGTTGGTGCTGAGGAAATTCTGGACTCCATTTTGTAGTTCTGCGGTGTCGGCGTCCAACCTGGAGTCGTCGACGCTTAGTATTTCTTCCAAAATGCCATTTTGACTCCAAATTCATCCTTTTTGCTTCCTTTTTTTTCAAGTCCTAAAAGTTGGCAACCTACAATAAAAACATGAAAAATTCATTCCTTTAAAGCTCAATTTTGCCAAAAATGAATATAAAATATAGGTATAAAAATGCATATATTTTTTGTGCATCACTAGTCTATCCAACATTTAATTTAGAAAGAGAAGTGGAAAATGATCTTTCATAGTGACGAGTTTTGATTTTTTTATAATCAATGCATATTCTCCACTCTGTGACTTCTCTTGTTGGTATTAACTCATTATGTTCATTAATAGTCATAGTCACTCCTCCTTTCTTAGGAACACAGTGAATTGAACTAACTCATGCACTATCTAAAATAGGGTAAATAATTCCAACATCTAACCACTTTAAATTTTCTTTTTTAACAATTTCTTTCATAAAAGATTTAATCTTCTTCAAGGATCAGCCCTGGGTTTGGAATTTTATTCCATAAGAATTCTATGCATACAAATTGAATGACCAATTTCTTTAATTTTAGCAATTATCCATCCAAATGCTTTCTTATAATTCTTCAAAGTTTTCATCAAACTCTTTTCTTCATCTAAAGTTAAATTTGAGAAAATTATAATCGATAATGTTGAGGAATCACCTAAAAAGACATATTTTAAATGTTTAAGAAGTAACTTCAATTCAAGTTCAATAGGTTTTCCAATTGATGGACAAAAGAATTTCTCTTTTTTTTGTCGTGTCCAAAACTTCTAAACTTTCTCGAACATAATTTGAATATTCCTTATGAAAATCATCAGATTGCTCTAATTCCTCTACTTGCACATATTCCAGCTCTTTCATTTCAAATTTCTCTTCATAAGTTGCTTTGAAATGACATTCACTCAGTTATCTTATTACATCCATCCTGTAACATTCATCATCTTTATCTTTTGCAGGACACTTCATTGATTTTGAAATATTAAAAGTAACTGTTTGATCATTGACACGCATAATTAATTCTCCTTTATGTACATCTATTATTGCTCTTCCCGTGACTAGGAAATGTCTCCCCAAAATGATATTTATTTCTTTATCTTCCTCCATATCCAGCACAATGAAATCAACAAGAAGGATAAATTGATCAACTTTCGCTAAAACATCTTCTATAACTCCCTTAGAATATATCATTGAACGATTTGCTAACTGCAAAGTTATACTAGTAGGAGATATTTCAATACTTAACTTTCTTTAGTAGGAGAAGTTGTTTAGAAAAGTGTGGTTGCAATCATTATGATATTTACTTCAATTATTTATCATATCTGGTTGCATTAACTTCTAAACTATAATACATTTTTTTAGATATTTTGGCATTGTGATTCAAATAACTATGCGATTTAATTTAAATTGATTCACTTGAGAAAATAAACAATAAAATTAATATTATGTTTATTTTCAAATAATTGCAATTTTTAATTTTTTATGAAATAAAATTAATCATTAATATGAGATTTGTATACAACACTTTAAATTAATATAATTAATCATTATTTAAATAATTATTGATACTAATACCTAACAAAATATCACAATAATTTGATTTGAATTAAATTAATGAAAAATATTTTTATTTTGAAATCATTTGATTTAATTTTATTATCAAAATAATGTAAAATAATAAAAATAATAATAAATATTTCACAATTCTTTAATGGTTGTTGCACCTTGCAATTGGACCAAAATAACGAAAAAGAGAGAATTGCTGGAGCACTCTACTTTTGTAAATGCAATTAGACAAATAAATAAAAGAAAATTAGAAAAAAAAATGTTAACAGCACCGGTCTTCCAGATGCAATCGATCTGTAATTCATATTTTTCTATTTTTTTATTTTTTTTTATTTTTTTATTTTTTTATTTTTTTATTTTTTTATTTTTGATTGGGGTTCAGTCGCCTTCTAATTTTTAAACCAGCGACACGCACTCTAAGCCTCCGTTGAACGCGTGTCGAAAGCAAATTTTTTTTCAACCATATTTATATAATTGTTTTCGAGTGCTTCCTTAAGTACGAAGGAGCTATTTATCAGCTTCGAACACAAGTTGATCGCGAACGACATTGAGAGATCTACGGAGCCCGCCGTCGATCGCGTTGTCTGTCTCCTTTTCCCAATATTTACTTCCTCTTCTTCTTCTCCGCAAAATCATCTGTTGTTCATATAAGTTCCCCTTCTCATTCCGTCAAAGGGAATCAGGGAGACCTGAAGTATTGGATAAGAAATCCATGGGTCAATCCTCTAGCCGCAGCAGGAGGCGCGACGAAGACCGCCAAAGCTACCCCCGACCTGCCCCATTTTTTCCACCACCACCATTAAGTTCTACTCGCAATACTTCCTCTCAACCTTATTTCAGCACCCCTTATTACAATCCTCCTCCAACCACCCCATTTCCGTACTACTACGCTTACCAACAGCCGCCAAGCAGCAACTACAACGGACTGATGGGCTTTTTCCAGTCTTGGCTGACTAACAGCTTCCCTTCTTTCTACCGTTCAAATCAGGGGAACGTGTCGTGGAATTCTGCCGTTCCACCACCCCCGGCCGCCATACCGCCCTATTCTTCTTTCTCCGAGGCATCATCTTCATCCACGGTGGTCACGCCGCCCCCTTACGTTGACCACCAAAAGGCAAAGACTATAAAGAATGATGTTAATTTGCATAAAGACATGATTCGGTTGGAAGTGGATGTGCAGAACCCGGAGGAATATCTGGTTTCCTTTGTCTATGACGCTGTCGTGGATGGGAGGTAATTCGCTTGGTATTGGATTTTATTTGTGTATTAATTCTACTATTTTAATGTCCTAATGATTTATTGTAGCCAACATAATGACAATTTGTGTGAGTTCGGTGTCATATTTGAGTTAAAGAATTCAATTAACCTACAAGGTGGAAATTTTGTAGCGTTTTCATTTGTTTTGGTTGCATCTAGGAAGAAGATGGTGTTGGGAAATTAAGGCAAAGAAATAACAAGAATCGACATAAATCCAGAAGAACACAGAGAGTTTTACGAGGTTCGGCAAAGATGCCTATATCCTCGGGAGCAGAACGGTGACTTCTTTCTCAATATTTAGAAAAAAAGTACTAAATATAAGTTTTAGAATCTCGAAGTCTCAGAAACTCACTTAGGGTTACAAACAAGACATATATATAATTTTATAGTACGATATATAATTACTTAAATTACTCCTGTACTAAACCGTGGGTTATTTCCCCCGGCCCCAACCCACATAATGAAACTCCCCCGATTGGACAGATCCTTCCGCTCCACTCCGTTCCGACATCTGTCCCATTTATGGTATATGTGTCATACCTAACAAATCTCCACATTCGCGAATATTTAACCTCTTTAGGAGAAATGCATATACCCAACAAATCTCCACCTTGGAGAATATTCAGCCCCTTAAGAGAAAAATATAATGGATTTTCTTTTGCACCGATGTGAGTTAGGCTACCACGCTTCTGCTGCGCCCTGGCTCCTCCCAACCCACTAAATTCTAAGGGACGACTCTTCAATTCCAAGAGACACCTCTGAATTTCAAGAGACTCCAAATTCTGGTATTATGAGTCATACCTAACAAATCTCCACTTTGGCGAATATTCAGCCCCTTTGGGAGAAATGCATATACCCAACAAATCTCTACCTTGGCGAATATCCATCCCTTTAGGAGAAATACATATGTCCAACAAATCTCCACCGTGGCGAATATCCAACCTCTTAGGAGAAATGCGTATGCCCAACAAATCTCCACATTGACTTTCCACAACTTGAATTTAGAGAAGACTTCAGATTTCTACTTCAAGAAATACACCCAAACTCTTCTGAAAAAATCATCAATAAAGGTCGCAAAATACTGAGATCTTCTCAATGACGATTCCCTGGTAGAGCCCCATACATCAGAATGCACATAATCAAAAATCTCTTTAGTTTTATATTTTTCAATCATGAAACTGACTCTAATCTGTTTTCCAAGAACATAGAACTTACAAAGACTGAGCTTGCAGTTTTTAACACCATGCAATAAGTTTCTTCTATACAATTCTGTCATCCCACGTTTACTGAGATGACTCAGACACATATGTCATAACTTTGTAATATCGTCATCCGACTCCACTGAATGAACTCCACCTACAATTGTAAATGTTGTGCAGAGTGACAATTCAGATTGCAGTGATGGCGATATGCTTTCAGTTTCATCAACTTAGTTCATGGATACATGAATTCTTGATTCAGGATGATTTTATCACATAACACCTAATAGGGAGTGACTTACTTCATACAGTTCAACTAGTTCTGGCTCAATTTATGTAGGTGATGATAGATGCTGCAATATTGTTGATATTGGAGAAGTCAGAATTAAGATGTATAATGACACAATTAAAACGTTATGTGATGTCAGACATATTCCAGATTTGAAGAAAAAATTGATTTCTTTGGGCATTTTATATAGAAATGTGGAAATTTTGTACTCATATTTGTGTTAAAGAATTCAATTAACCTGCAAGGTGGAAATTTTGTAGTCTTTTCATTTGTTTTGGTTGCATCTAGGAAGAAGATGGGTTAAACACAGACCGAGAGTTTATGCTTGTCTTTGCTTGAGAATTTTTGGTTACACGTAGTTAAGCAGATAACATATCTGTTAATTGAATGACCATGGAGTAGAATAATTGGTGCCCTGTCCAAATACTTCATGAAGTGGTCAGTGAGAACAACCAACCTTTGGGAGGAGGAGATGAGGTGGTAGAAACTTTTTAAGGGGCCACAGATATGGACCTTTAAGCAGGGTGCTATGATCTAGTTAATGAGCAGAGGGAGAGATGGGGAGAGGAGCAAAGGACCTTGAAGCTGAACTGGGGATTGGGTTGCTGTTTGTAGTTGTTTAACATAGTAGATGGAGAGAAAGGTAGAATGAAAGCGAGCTATACTGTAGGGATTCGTTTGATTAATCTCTCATTAACCTCAAATTTGTAATGTCATTAGTATGTATAGAGAGCAGGTTTGGCAAGATGGAGAAAATGGGATGCACCATTTACCAAAATTACAAATGACTTCATTATCATGTAAAATAATTGCAATCAATCATCTGGTTTAGTCTGGGATGGGTTTTAATGCTAATGGGTTGATTGGCTAAACTGCATTAACCTTACCAAGATAAAAAGAACTCTTTTGCAGATTATGAAGTTTGAGGTAACCGTTCAAGTGAGTGTGGTCATGTCATAAGTAATGAATCTAAGTCAAACTTTGGAAGGTGGTTGTATTTATAACCCATAAAACGCTACGTTCTACGAGAGCTTGTGGTAATCTCATGTGTAATGATATGCTCTATGAAGCTAGTTGAGAAGGATGTGCATGTTGACAAGATGATCATAGGAGATATTAGTTAGTTTTACCTGCTGACACTTTCTGATAATATTGGAGGTTTAGAAGCTCTCCGAAAGGCAAAAGCACTTCAATGTTAAAAAGCTACGATAATGTTAATTTTAAGAGGTAATTCTATTACATAAGAATGGGACCTTAGCTTCGTAACATCTTTGTGGGGGTTGGATAATTTACTGTTAAATTTATAATGATATGTGACAAGAAGTATTCGGGGCAAAAAGACATCAATACAGTTTTCCTTATTAAATTTCGGAGCACTTTAATGAGTGTTTGTTACCATTTTATATGTTCCATCATGTTTAGCAGAAGGACATTGTATATGAGCATAAAGTTAATGTATAGGGTTGCATATGAGCCGAGCTGAGCCGAGCTCAGTCAAGCCAACTAAGAGTCTGTTTTAACTCAAGCTCACTTACTAAATGTCTATTGAAGCCCAATTTGAGTTCAATTTAAGCTTCTTTGATACTGTTCAAGCTCTGTTCATTTAAATTAGTTATTGTTCAAGCTTGATTCGAGCTCGACTCAAGTTTAGTTTTACCAAACATTAATCGAGTTGCTTTTTTAGCCTTATCAACGCGAGACCGAGCTTATTAAGCTGTAGATAAATAGTGATCAAATGAACCTTATCAAATCAAAATAATAAAACTAAATTTAGAAATTAAAATTTTTATTTTACAGCCCTTTTATGCAAAGCTAAAATTCCCATCCATCCACCAATCCAAGTTCACACGACACATGCTTTTTGAATTGCTTTACTCCTCATTTAAACAACAACTATAATGTACCTCTTTTAGACTTGACGTTATATGCAATGCTTAGAGAGAAACTGAAATGTATCAGCTAAAGCTAAAGGTCTTACATGTGAAACTTATAATTTCATATATTCATTTACTGTAATCTATTTAACAAACAAGATTATAATCAATTTAATTTTTATTTAGTTTATATTTCAAACTCATCATAAATACCTTAGCTTAATTGATTTGTTTATTGATTATTTTTTTTAATTAGTATAAGCTTCACATGAACTTATAATTTTATTAGTTTTTTAATTATTATTCTGAATTAAAATTATTTTTTGATGAGCTTTACTTGAAACCAATTAATTATTTTATTTTGTTTTTAAATTAGTCATTAATTTTCTAAATAAATAATATGAAAAAAGTAATTTAATTTTAAAATAGTTGTAATCATTCTTTATTTAAATTAAATAATTTTTTATTTATAATTTATAGGTGATTGTAAGTCAATATCAGAGCTTAATTAAGCATTATAATGAGCTTCTTGAAAGCTTTAAATGATATTTTCCATGATAAAAAATAAAAAGTGCAACAAGGTGTTTAAAGTTGTTCATTTAATAAATATTCAGACTTATTTTATTACATAATTAACCGATCATAAACATGCTCGAATCAAGCCAAGCTACGAGTAGTTTGTTGAATACTTGGTTCGTTTGTGGCTCTATTAATGCATGTGTTAGACAAAGTAAGTGCCCAAAGAGGAAGATGATGCATCCTAGGAAAGGGAGCAAGATATATGCATCCTTTGGCTTTTCTTAGTAGCTGCATTGAAAGAAGAATTACTAGTGTAATTAATTAAGTTGTTGTAAGTGAACACCTGGGTGTGATTGCAAATAAGCCATTACATAATTGGCGAGATACTGGTTTACTACGTTAGTGTTGGGATTTTTTTAACTGCGAAAGCATTTGATATTTTGTTAATGAGCCAAATTGCATGTAGAGTGGTTTAAAAAAATGATTGATGCTAGTGAATGTCATGCATGAAGGTGCTGTGCACATTTGTAAACCCATCCAAATAAAGTGACATTCTCATCTACATGCACGACCACCTAAAGAAGGAATCCAAAAGAGTATTATCCTTTTAATTATTTTTTTTTATCTTTTAGTCTTATAAGCATTATTATAAGAGAAATGTCTTATCCAATACCAGAGCTTCCTTTATGATAAATTGTATGTTTGAATGATTTTTTACCTTGGATTATCAATTTTAACTATAAAGCCACTATGTATAGCAACAAGTGTTTATCCTGCTAAGTGGGGGTCGGCTACATGAATCATTTTTCTTCATTGCATCCTATTGAGTGTCATGTTTTCTTTTAATTAGAATAAATTAAGATAATTTTTTGTGCAACATGACCAGAATTTTTAGGTCTACCGTTGTAACATAAGTCAAATCTAAAACATCTACTCTCTTAACTAGGTCATGAGATGGTCGATGTTTCATTTGATTAAATCATCTAAGGAGACTCTCTTTAATCTTGTCTACCACTGAAGCTACTCCAACCCTTTCACAAATATATTTATTTCATTTATCTCTAAGTGCAAAGCCACTTATTCATATGAGCCATC